TATCCACACTACGCACGGTGTGCTGTACACAGACAAGGAGAAATGAACAAGTAGTAACTAAACACATGTGAAGTAAAATGCTTGGTTTCCTAACTTAGCGTGAAGCTCTCAGCCGAACCGTTTGATACGTCTCAATATATGAATTGCCTTTGTCTGTCATGATTTCATCAACAGTAAGAATATCAACTTTTGCCTTTGAATCAGCAGCGAAACCCATATCTCACAGCTCACAAACACTGAATTCAGGTCAGTTGAAAAGGGACAGAAATATAGTACCACAACTGAAAAAAGTTGACAACTGGGATGAAGTTTTAAATATTTTTTCACAATCTTGTCGACTACAGCACCAGCAGCCCATAATGATGAACGTTGATAACAGGGAGTCTTCATCGTACATTTAGATAAACTTCTATAAAAACCGATTGCGCAAGCAGATTCTACATAAGCTATTTTCTATTGATCTCTTAAAGTTACAGTGTGTAGAATTTAGTGATATCTAGTGGTGAAGTGTCATGTTGCAGCTGAATACCCCTCATCTCACCCTCCACTTCCCAACATGAAAGAGAACCTGTGTTGAACTTCAGTAGTTATGAAAACTCCAAAGGTTTTAGTTTGTCCAGTTTGGACGACAGTAAAAAACATGGGGCCCTCCACAGAGAGGACCCCCCCCCCCCCTCCAGGTAAATATAAAGTTTTTAAATATAAAGAGCCCATTCTATGGTCGAGAAAACAATAATTTATACAATTTAGATGGAACACACAAGTGCAAACATCACTAGGATTATTATGTATTTAATTTCTGCCAAAAATCTCTTTCACCTTACTTGTACACACTTTAAGTCACAGTGAATCATTAATGAGAGCACATAACTTGTGCAAATCCAAATCTTTCCACAAATAAATCCTCCAGGATGAATTCAGAAAAAAAATATTTGTCAAATGATGCACAAGACTTCACACTGGAGTTTTTCAATTTGATAGAATACAGCAGCAATAAAAACAAGGCTGACATAAATCCACTCAGTGCACACATCATGTTTTGATACTCTTTATAGAGAGACATCGGCGGTTTGAGAGATAAATACAATACAATAAAATAAAGATTTTTTTATAAAACATTTGTTAAAAATAATTTGTCTGCAGACATCTACAGTCTGTGTCTTTAAATCTATATATCTGACAGCCCAACACATCATCCTTAGAATTGCTGGAGCACAGAGCCACCAGAGTAATGCTTGCACATTTACGATCCTTTATGTTCTGTGGTAACAGACATAAGAATCAGTTTCTTTGAATCAGTTTATTGTGTATATTAATGTGCATAGTACCAAAATAATTGCTTGAATTAGCTGACCCTTAAAATATATTTTGGGTCAAGATTTGTCAAGAGGGACAGAAAAAAGGTTAAATGCCATCTTAGAGATTAAATACCTACAAGGTTTTACATTTTCAGCATTTTAAATGTGAGGACTTGAAGCTCTCTACAGCTGTTAAGTGATGTATTTATTTCCAATATCTTAAGTGTAATTATAGTCAAGACAAGTGGGAATCTTTACATGTTAATTTACATGTGTTCTTTTAAAAGAAAAAAGGCCCACCCATTCCCTCTTTATCGACACTGGCGATCATAATGGGACGCAGAGAATACCGAAGGTCTGAATGTGCATTCTGCTGGGCTTGACCAGCTTATTACATATACCACAGTGAGCGAGAGGGCAACAGATTTAAAAGCTGAAATGTGATTGTATTATCGTATCATCCTCAAGTCACAAAAAAGTTCTACCCGATTTAACTAATGCTGGGCTTCATTTGAAAACGTTTCCAGAAACCCCAGCTGTACGTGGAAACATATCCCTCATTGTGATTATGCCTGTTTGAGGTGGACACCCTTTTTAACCGTGCGCAAACTATATGTACTATGTGTGCATACGTGTGTGTGGGTGTGTGTGTGTGTAAATGCATGCATGTGTGTCCATATATCAGTTTTCCATTCATTCCCTGCAGAGATATCACTGTGCAATGTAGCAGCAGGCAATAATGTTGAACTGGGCGCTGGACTGCAATCAAAGCCTGTGGCCCTATCTCATTGCTGATGTGGCTGTATGGAGCAGCATCAGAGAGCATGCTGGGAGAGCTTTACAGTCTGATAAATGGAATTCCCCCTTGTCAGTGACCATGCAACACACGTGTAGCAGATGTATCTGGTCCCTGACAACAATCACATATGTATAAGGAATATTTTCTGAACATTTTCAGTGCCTGTGGGGAAATATATGATCCAAAATGAATTTGAATTTGCAAGATAAGATGACTGTGTGAGCTGTGTGAATTAATGCAAAAATGTATCATAGAAGCACACTATGCATTTAACATTCTCAGTTAAAATCCCCATGGCCGAACGGCTAATCTGGTCCAGAGCAGGTTAAGTGGGAAATAAAAGATCAAGCAGTGTAAAAGCTCTGCCCACTGACCAATCAATTCCTTTGAAACATGACATCACCGTTCTTAGACGATCATGTGGAGCAACCAATTTAAAAAAAAAAATGATTCCGTGGAGCTGGGTGTGGATTGTTAGTCTCTGAGGAGGACAAGGGTCTTCAGAGACAGACACAATCCTTTTACCTACTCTGATGAGTATCTTTATGAAGCAATACATCCTGTCAGCTGCTGGAGCCGAAAATAACCGACCTGACATGTAGGAGCAATGTACTCACAGTAACACACTGTCTGTATCGAAAAGTGTTTCAAACTAAAGCTCATTATAGAGGCTACATCCTGTGATTAAAACATTTGATCTCTCATCTAAGAGGCTTCTTCAGTTCAGTTCAACAGGTCTTGTTAGTGAAGAACAGATTCATATCTCGTTCCCACATGTTATAGGTGTGTCATGGTTACGTTATATATTTTTTCCCAAATGTCACCGGGGGCTCTGTCACTTACACCTCACACAATCAGAGATGTTTACCCAGATGTCCTTCCTGCATTTAGCAGCTCTGTGGTGTTTCTTTTAGTCTGGATGATGGGTTTGTTGGCCTCCTATTTTTCTAATGTAACAGTTTGATCCTCGTTTGTGAAATATGAGACCCTGCTGTCAGCTCACTTGTCCATGTCAGTGATTGGTCAGACACTTTAAGCACAGCCCCTTTTATATGCACAGGCTCAGATGTTGATGAGACAAACCTGGGTTGACTTAGTTGATAACCAGCTTCCTGTGACTGCTTAGCCTGAATGCGATTGTTAGGTTAAGTTCAGCTGAATCTCTGAAAGATATCCTGGGTATGTTGAACTTGCTTCGTAGTACAGGCCCCAGGTCAGCTGTGTAGTGTGTACACTCCTTCACACTATGCTGGCTTGTAGTTGGAGTGAATTATTTTGGAACCGTGGCCACTGGATTGTTAACATTTTCACTATATTAATAGTATCAAGCATCACCCTTTTTAGGATCTACCATAGTGTTCCAATGAAGACAATAATAGTAATAATGATTACAATAAAAAACACTGAATCACAGAATTTAGATTAAAGTAACATGTGGAAGAATCTAATAAAAAAAATAAAATGTCCCTTTTTAATAAAACACAAACTCAGGTCATAACAAGTATATCTGCAAATAAACACATTTGTACCAAAATCTGCACAAAATCAATCTGCCAATGCTGTGTGGGTGTCTTTGTTTGTGTGTGTTTGTGTGTGTGCGTGTGTCCAACAGATCAAGTCAATATGAAAAAGCAGGCTTGATTTTCACTGAAACTTTATAAAAGTGCCACAAGGAAACTTTTCCTTGCTTCTACCTCTCAGCTAAATCAATTGTGATGGCATATCATAAATCGAGCAATTTAAAAACACACACCTAGAATGCTTTGTCATGCATTCACATAAGAGCTTTTTGTGCTTTCAGCAGAATCTCTGAATTCCTCACCTGTGGACACGTAAGCAATATTTCTAAATCAAATAGAGGATAAATGCATCATTTCCACACTGAGCTATCTCAGTCACTGACACAAAGCCACCAATATATGACTTTGTGAAAAGGTTCGAGAGGTAAAAAAAGACTTTGGAGCGGAAGGAGAAGATTACAATATCAAGCTGATCTGTCAGCGTGCTGATCTGCCAAATGTCAAACAATACATATTCATCTGTTTGGCCAGCTATGGCAAAGAAGCAGCGGTCCAGGAGAGATCCAAACAGAGAGATGGCTGACATTTCAGTATTCAAGAGACTGACAGCTGCACATAACACACACAAATACACACACACACACTCACACAGACCAACCCATACACACTACTCCTTTATAAACTTGGTTTATTGCACCACTGACTTTAGTCAGGAGAAGCTGAAGCTGGATGCTAAATGTCCTGTCAAGCCAAAAAACAAGTCTAAGAGTTCATGGCTTTCACAGCCCAAACTTTTCATAAATCATTGGATTAAGCAACCTGTAAATGGTTTTCTAATGCTGACCTCAAAGACATTACACATTGGCCCTAGATGTAGAACTGGCACCAGAATCTCGGACAGATGTTTCATTAGCTACACCTTCCATTCCCTTTGTGTTCTCAGAAAGTGTTGCAATACAGTTGAGTTGTAAAGATACTGCACATACAACCAGAAGTACAGCTGAATAAAGTTACTCTGTGAACATGAACGTACATGGGGTACACATCTACAGGCTAGTAAATGAATCTGTCATGTGTCATCCTCTGCTCGGTGCTCTTGTCAGTGTGAGAGCACCTATATAAGATGCTCCAGTCAGTGAATTGTGTTTTTAAAGCTTATTTCAGGCAGCCGAGCCCACCAAGTCTCAGTGGGCCTCTGCAGTGGCAGCTTGTTAGCTTTGCTCTCATCTTTGAGTGGTACAAAATCATTTTTTTGATTTGACAGATTGCCTTTGCCTCCAGTAATGAACAAGAGGTATCAAAACAAAATCTACATCCTAAAGAGACATCACTACAGATAAGGCTCATTCCTGGATATGTCGTGGTTTGGTAGAATGAACTTGCCTCCACAGGATATCGTCGGCTGTTGATGCTGTGTTCAGAGCCATCAGATCCGTTGCTGGGACCCCAATGAAACTCCACTTTTTCTGCCTTAAATCTCCCCGGTAGGCCTGCTCCCCGAACAAAGTATTCATCCTTCAGCATAATTGCCACTGGAGAAAAGACAGAAGAACAGAGAAAAAGGGACAGCGGAAATTAGGTGAGTGGTCATACATCACAAAATTGGTGTCTGTTGGTGTGAAGGCAAATTTCAAAGATTGCTGGAAACACAATCAAAAGTTGCGTGAGGACACATGCACTGTGTGAAACCTCTTTAAGGTCTGAGGAGACATACAAAAGGATGTATTCAGAGGATGTGCTAAAGGTAGATACGTGTTTATCTTCTAAATTTGCTCTGAACAACACATGCTTGCACAAGACCATTTCTGTCATTTTCCATCAGCCTCTGAGGCAAGTTCTCAAACGAGGGGCTAATTTGTCGAGCTAAATTGTTCTCTTCAGCCACTGCAAATTGCCCTTGCAGTCTCCTTTGTTATTCCATCACATATTGCTCAAATATAGTGCAAATTGAGAAGGGGCCTTATTTACACATTCACAAGTGGCTCTGAGAAGATTGTTCTAATAATCAGTCCATTTACCTTGATTTCATTCTTCATCAGATACTTCTGTGCAATTTCCAAAGGGAGTGCTAGATTAAGGAGAGTGACCTGGTTCATCATCTTATCAAAGCATTGACCAAATGTCATGGATTGTCACATAGACCTGATGAAACAGACCCATTTTACATATATGCTTATGCCTTTGCTAAATCAGGAATGTTATATTAACTTTATCAACCTTGTAATCATATTTCTATTGGTTTCGTCGTCTTATTCAATCCAATTTTATTTGTATAATGCCAAATCATTTTATACTCAAGGCACATAGAAGGTCAAGACCCTACAAATTATAGAGAAACCAAACAGTTCCCACAATGAGCACTTTGATGACTGTGGAGAGAAAAACTCCCTCATTTATGAAGAAAAGAAGAAACCTCTAGCAGAACCAGACTCAGTGTGGGCGGCCATCTGTCAGTTATTATGGCTACTACGTTATTGATGTACTTTGATGAAATCTGATGGCAGTTTGAAGGGGTTGGCCCTTTATTTTACCTTCTGATCAGCTCAGTAGTTAATTGAGCAACAACAGTTATTGATTGATCCATCTCTGTGTATGTCTGTAAGTAAATATTTATGTAAATAAGTCTCAAAAAAGATTAATTCCATGTACTTCAAATTTGGCAGGTGTGGTAGCAGGCGTCAAGGAAAGTACAGGTCAATTTGGTTAAATTTTGGACATACACAAAAAGTGCAGTGAGTCAAACCTCACTGCACTTTGTACAGGCAAACAGCTTTTTGTGCAGCAGCAGGGGTGCAGCTATGGGGCAGGTCACTTTAGCTCTTCAAGAAAGATGCAACCAACAACTAGACCACAGGTGAAGGGAACAGACCATTCCAAACAGGCATGTTAAGAAGAGACACTACAGTAAAAACATCAACCCCATCTCCTAACACCTCTTTTATATGCAGCTCAACACCAAAGAGGTTGTAGCAAATGCAATTGTGAGTGGATTCCATTTACCATTTTCAATTTTCATAATGTGAATATGTCGATCATTTACATATTTGGTAAGTCACAACCTGTTTTATTGCTTTCCACCAAAATATTTCATATTGCAGTATAATATCATATAGGTTTTCAAAATGAAATGACAATAAAATTTGTTGTGTGACAATGAAAAAAAAGTTCTAACCCATCCACCCCAACGTAACATGACACGCAGATTCAGGTCATCAGGGTTCAGACGCAACGCTCTGTTTTAACTTCATTGTTACAAAAGAAGCAATGCCCCATTTATCCAGGAACATAAATATGAATTCAGCAGGTTTTTATAAAGATCAATTCTAATTATGAGTGATTACAAAACATCAGAGGAGCAGAGTCACTTGCTGACCAGCGGAGTAATGTGCCTCAGTGCAGTGGTGCTGCTAAGGGGGCACCTTGATACAGTAAAGGCTATGATCAGAGTTTGTCCTTTAAAGTTTGAGGTGCAGCACAAGGTCTAAATTGAATGAATGTCAAATCAGTGTGTAGAGCACACTTGTAATAACAGTGACAGTCTATAATACTTTATAAAGCACTTTCAAAATAAAAAGGGAATTCACATTTGTCCAACTGATTTTATTAATTGAGGAAAAAGCAGCCATGTGCAGCACACAGCCATGTGCAGTCACGTCAGACAGGATGGCAGCACCGCTCTCCTCCTGTCTCAGCTGTGCTGGTTTTTCTTTGCTTGTGTGGAGTTGAGTGGTGATGAACAAAGGACTAAGATACCAGTGCCTCCAGTTTACAGCTAATTAGCTAAAAGACAGACACAAATATAGTGTCTTGCTAATGCACACGCAAGCTACTAGCTAATGTAATAAGTTAGGGCATTAAGATTAATGAACTGTACTTAAGTGGAGACACAACAGGTGAATACTTTCAAATGTGTATCTAATGATATCATCACAGAAGCAACCTTGATATGCAAATTGGGCATTAAGTAGTAAAATACACAAATTTGCATACATTTGCCAATTGGCACCGCAGGTGAATAGGATTTTAAAATGACCTCAAACATCACAACGGAACTTTCCCAGTTAATGACTTACATCAAGAAATGTTGTGTTTAAATATGCAGATTAGCTTGTTAGGCTAATTTAGGAGAAGAGGGTAGTAAAAACAAACACCATCTAAATGTGTGTTTATGGAATTTTCCTTTCCATTAGGGTGAAAGAAAACATGGGAGCAAAATAGGACAAAATCTCAAAATCTCAAAACATGACAATGTTTTTGCCTGTTGTGTCCGGCCTTGACCATTAACTGCATATTTTTTTAAATTTTAGGCTCCTCATCTAATAACTATTCATTCTATTTATTTGTTGTGATGTTGTTATAGATCAATGTGAATGTGAGGGTATTCAAATAAATTGGTAAGTCAGAGATGTGCTACTATATTCAAATTTTTGTTTTAAAACATTTATGTGTACACAAGTATGAGAACTGCCTATTTTCTCACTTGAGCTCCTGCCTTTCAAGATTATCCTAGAGAATCGTAGGGTGAAAGTATTATTTGCATAAAAATATCACCTGACCTTATGTTTACTTTCTTCCATTACAAATGAAAATGAGAATACTGCATTAATAAAAGGGGGCGGAGAAATTGATTATAAAGAAGCTTACTTTTTAAGAGAGATTTGCGCCGTGAAATGGCAGCTTTTGTATTAATGTCAATTTTGGATGAGTTCCTCGGAACTTATGTAAATGACAAGTGACAAATTGCTTATTTTGGTCCATTAGGGCTCGTTTATATGTCACTCATCTCTTCCCTCCTTCATTCGTAGGTTGCGCCTTTTCACATTTGCTTTACGAAGCTAGAAGATAGGAACAGAAATCACCTGCCAACTTCTAACCTATGTCTGCAATATTATATTTTTGGTTTTGCTTCGTTTTCTACAAGGCAGCAATTGTAGCAATGTTTTTATTTTTTTTTTTACAGTTTATTTAACTTGGTAATATTAGAGAACCTAAAGCTCCTAAGACAAAAGCGACGTAATCTCCACACTCCTCGGCATTTAATGCTTGCTTATCTCTTTCCATCAATATGTTGATTTATTAAACGTAAAGAAGTTAAAGTGGAGCTGTGAATAACACTAGCATTATGTCTCTAAACAGAGCTTGTTGTGCAGGAGGTGGGGGGTTATCCAGGCCCTCCCTGTCTGATTTCACAGCTCCATCAAATCATTCAGCGGCAACAACATCAGGTGATCCCTCCACGGAGAAAATGCTCATCTGTTGTTTAGAAACAGAGCAGAATCCATGTATAATTCATAGCAAAAAAATGCAGGAACATTCGTCTTGTTAGCCATGCATTATGTAGGGGGGGAGAGCAGGAGCTGTGGGTGCCATTTTGTGTCGCAGCTGTTGTTTGTGTTAGCATTTTTACATGGCTCTTTACATGCCGCGGCACCCCAAATCCTTTTGAATAATGCGCTCTGTGTTCGTTACATTGCAGGTGGCCATCACCATGTTTTTTCCCCCTGTGGCTGCTTCATTGCCTCGGGGCAATGGTTTGAGTTGAATGTGTTGAATCAAACGTGTCAGAGAATTTTTCATCTTGACCGCAATGATGAGGTCTCCTCTTTCTCATCTGTGGATCTCACTCTCATCTTGCTGGTTGTGCCAATGGGGTGCAGGTGATCCTCTACCTGAAGGTCAACCGGCTGGTCCACTCCCACAGGGAATGACAACACACAAAGCAGTGCGTCTGCCTCGCCTGACTGAGCTACCTGCACTCAGACAAGCAAAGGTCTCACGTACCAACGACGTCTGCTAACTCTTCACAATGCAGTGATGAGGAGACACACAAGACATTTACTTACAAGGCTGCAGAGGAGTTTTGCAAGCACCTTATTCTCTCTTGTAATGGCCGTATTGTTTAATTGTTATTTATTTATTGTTAATTTCACAGCCATGTCAGATTGTCCCCAAACATGTTCATTTTTGTTAGTACTTATCACACTGATGTATATTTGTTTCTGACAAGTTTGGTTTTAATTTCTCACCGGAGGCTATAAAAATTGGATGAGAGCAAATGGTTGTTTCAGCGGGACCCGGACACTGCAGCCCCACTACACGATCACCACTGTGCAGACGTCAAAAATGCAAGATGGAAGCCCTCTGTTACGTTGATTCAACAGAGGACCCAAATGCAGGAGATACTGCAGCTTGGTTGTTGATTGATCGTTTATTAAAGAGATAAACTAAACTAAACTGTATTCAAAGGGCAACAAACCGCAGTGGCAGATCTTCCTCAAGGAATCAAAAAATAATAATACCTTGAATGAAAAAAACAAGAGGAAAGATTGGTGTAGTCTGATGAGGAATAAGGTGAACAAGGGGAAACAAGGCAAACTGACAAAGACAAAGGGAAGCACAGAGATTTCTGTACACACATGAACACAGGTGAAGCACAGTAGGAACATGTGCAGAACAACCAACACAAACCAACTCCAAACACAAGAAAAATGTACAATATCAAAAATGTGCAAAGGAAGAAACAGGAGACATG